GGGAGCACCCGCATCCGGATCCCCTTCGCGGCGCCCGCCCGCGGCTCTGCGCTCATATTGACATTCCTCTCATGTCGCTTTAAAAATCCAGTCTGCTCGGGCAGCGGGAGAAGGGGCGAGGGCGACTCCCCTGCTCTTGCCCGCCGCGGAGTCGCCCTCAGCCCCTCCTGGGGCCGAAACCCCTTCCCCGCAGCCTTGCGGGGACCCCCAGCCCAGAGCGCTGGCAAGGCGGCCCGGGAGGCAGTGGCGACAACAAGTGGCCGGATTGGGCGGCTTGGTCTCGATAGCGGAGGCTGGAAGCGAAAGGCGGAGGGGCTGGGACTCGGACACCCCCAGGCCCTCAGCTCCGGGGTGTGAGCGACAGCCTCAGGCAGTGGCCAGGAGACGAAGCCTGCAGGGCAAGGCCAGAGGTCCCTGGCTGGCTGTGTCCTGTGGGGCAGCAAGAGCCCTGGGTCCTTTGGGGCCTGCTGGAGGGGTCCCCGCTGTGCTGAAGGGAGGTGCGGATCCCCTTCCCCCCTCAGACCTCCTGGCCCCCATGTGGACGGAGTGCTCCGGACTCAAGGGAGCTTGGCCCCCTGGGATCTGTTTGTTATTGGGGGAGGGGCTGCCACCGCCTGGGGACTGGCCATGTCTGGGTACCTTGGGCCCAAGGGGGTCTCTAAGATCCAAGGCACCCAGCGAGACCACTAGGGGGTGGGTTATGCTGAGATGAGATGCCAGCAGGGTCAGGGATGATGGGTGAGGGCAGGAAGGCCGTCTTCCCCATCTTAGAGCCCCAGTGGGGGCAGATCTTGGGAGAGTCAGATGGTGTGGGGAGAGATCCAGAGGGAGGAGGCAGCCACCCCCCACTCCCCCACCGCATCACAGGCCACGAGCCACCTGCTTCTCACCAAGTCCCCCGCAAGCCTCCAGACGCCGGAGGGCCAAGGAGAAGGGTCTGTTCGCTGTGGGCAGGCGGGTGGCTGGGTGCCGCTCTCCTGACCGGCTCCTTCCTCGTCCCCGGAGCCCTGGTTCCTGCTCAGCTGGGTGGAAGCCGGCTGTCCAGGGCCTGGGGTAAGGAATATGCTGGAGACGTGAGGGCCGGGAATGGAACATGAGCCATCGCCTCCCTTTCTTTGTTCGCTCCTGACGGGGGCCACAGCCAAACCTACCACCCGTTTCCCCTCCATGGCCCCTTGTCCAGGCTTGGTCACTTGAGCAGGGGTTAACATGTCACTGTGCCCCCCCACTTCATTCCCTCCCTCCCCTCGCTCCAAGCTACTACCAGCATGGCCCTGGCACCCTCACTCCAGCCCTCCCTGGGTCCCTCGTCTCCCGATCTCCCAGCCCTGGGCTTCAGGCCATGAAGAAGAGGGGAAGCTTCAGTGAGACCAGGGTGCAGGGGTGAATGGGGCATGGGGTGGGTGGTGCAGGGGCAAGGAGGCTGCGGGCTCCCCTTGGGCCTGCTGGTGGACGTGCTGGCAGGCACCCAGCCGCATGAGTCACCAGCCACGCCAAATGCACTCCTTACTCTTCTCCTGTCCTCTTCTCCTGGGCCCTGGGGAACACAGGGGGACCTGGTGCCGGGGACATCTGAAGGGCAGGGTCCTCTCTGGGACAGGCAGTCAGTGGCTATGGGGCAGCCAGAGGCCTGGCTGTCTTCCCGTCTGTCTCCTGGCCCCATGCCTTCTACAGATGCGGGTGAGAAGTTCTCCACAACCCAATGCCCTTCTTGACTGCAGGTACCCCAAGAGCCCTCCTCCCAGGAGACCAAGCCTCTGCAGGCCCCAGGCACCCCTGTGGACCTTGACTTCCATGTCTGGGTGGAAAGGGTAGCCAGCCCTGGCGTAGATCCCCCAAGAGGACCCTGCTCTCTCTGCCTCCCCAATGCCCCATTAACGTTCCTGCCCCAGGGCAATGTGGGTAAGACCCAGGCCCCTTGCCAGAAGGACACCCGTCGTTGGGGGAGCCATGCCACATGTGCTGGGACGAGGGAGCCCGGCAGCTTGGGATGTAATGCTGCAGACAGTGCATACGGCAGAAATCCAGGGGGCGGTTAGCCCGTGCGAGTGGGAGGAGGACTGGGGCAGGGGCGGCAGTGGGGAGAGCATGGTACCAGGTTAGAACAGAAGCATCCCAGCCAGGCAGTGCTGAATTCACGTCTCCACACCCTTGACTCTTAGGGTGACCTTGGGCCATCCCTTGCCTCTTTGAACCTCAGTTTCCCCATCTGGGAAAGGGTGTCCGCGTTTCCCCTGCACCGGGCTGGTGACAAGGCATGTGGTAGAGGTGCTGAACATGGGGCCGAGCACACAGTGGGGGCTTGAGGACACAGATGCAACAGCAGGGGGCCGGTCGTGAACCTGGAGTGTATACGGACCAGGGAAGGGAGGACACAGGTGTGTGGGAGGCCAGGCCGGAAGGGCAAGCTGGTGTCAAGGGCCTTGAAGGTCAGATAGAGGCACTGGAGACCGGTGGCCCTGGGGAGCCGTGGATGGCCATAGCTGGGAGGTGCTGGCCCAGGGCCCATCTGGCCCCCGTGAGGAAGCAACACATGATCTCCCAGACTCCTTCTGCACCCCCCATCATCGCTGGGATGTATGCCTCTGACACGCACACGGCAGAGACCCCTAGGGCCTGCAGGAGCGTGAGGCTGGCCCCAGTGTCAGCAATGGACTTGTACACTGAGGGTGACAGTGGGGTGGCTGTCAGTGAGAGGAGGGAAAGAGACAGACAGATAAAACAAGCAGCTAGCCACCAGGGCTGGCACTTGTCGGACTGCGGAGCTTGAGTTACCAGTGGGCATATGGGGGGCCTTTCAGGCAGGTGAGGGAGGGAGCCCCTTTCCTGGCCCTCTTCCCTGCAAGTACAGCGGCCGCCTCCATGCAGGCAGGAGGCTCAGGGAGGCCGAGTGTGGGGCGCGGGGCCAATGTCGCAGACAGCACAGTGCTGCAGCACATAGACACTGCCCCCCCAGTGACCTCAAATCCATAGCCACCCCCGCTCCCCAGACTCTAGCTCCCTGACAGAGGGCTGCATCCCGTGGGGCCTGCCAGGGGCTCCAGCCTGGCTTCGCTCCACAGGTCGAGAAGGGGCTTGGGAGGTGTCAGGCCAGATGCGGCAGGTGGGGGACAATGTCGTCCTGGAAATCTCGTGGCCCTGCCAGCTGTTCTCAGCCAGGCCTCCCCATGCCAAGAGGGAGCAGGACAGGCTTCCCCCGACTTCTCAGAGCAGGGACCAGAGCGAGGCTTTCGGGGAAATATGCTCAGGCCTTGGCCAGCGGCAGGAGTTACGTCCCCATTTCACAGACGGGGTGCCTGAGTCTCTTTTGAGGTCACACGGCAGCCTCAGCAGAGCCCATATCCCGGCCCAGGCCTCCCGCCTCAGCAGCAGCCTCGATGCCAGCGAGAAGGACACCAGGCGTCCCTAGCTCACCCAGTCTTCCCTCTCTTCCTGGCTCTGCCATCTGACCTGGTCTGATTTACTGTATCCTGCTCAGAGCCAGACTAGCCAAACACTTCCAGAAAACCAAACTCACTGCCATCAAGTCAATTCCGACTCACAGCAACCCCCATTGGGTTTCTGAGGCAGTAAATTCTACGGAAATAGATTGCCCCATCTTCTTCCAGAGAGCAGCTGGTGGGTTTGAACCACCATCCTTCCGGTTAGCAGTCAAATGCCTTAGGCACTGCGACACCAACTTACATGCCTTATTTCCTTATTCAATCCTCACACCAGCCCTGTTGTGCAGGTGATCAAACACCTGCCCAAGGTCACCCAGCCAGGACGTAGAAGAGCTGGGATTTGAACCTGGCTCTGTGTGACTTATAGTCGCTCCCCTCCTTGGCCTCCATGGTGGGTGGGAGTCTGAGGAGGATAGGCAGCATGTGCACCATGGAGGGGTGGTTGGATGGATGTAAGAATAACCAAACCAAACACTGCCATCGAGTTGATTCGGATCCATAGAGAACCCGCCTTGGGTTTCCCAGCCTGCAAATCTTTATGGAAGTAGATTGCCCAGTCTTCCTTCTGAGGAGTGGCTGGTGGGTTAGAACAGCTGACCTTGTGGTCCAGGGTTGCTTCTGGGTAGCAACCAGTGCCTAATCCACTACACCCCCAGAGCTCCTTGGATGTAAGAATGGGAAGGTGGGTTTGCCTAGTAGTCTTGGGAGGGTAGCAACAGCCTGAGAAGTTGCCCTCAGGGCTGCCTCGGGGCCTGCCAGCTGCCCACACACCTCAGGCGTGTCCGCCCTTGGCTGTTGTTAGGTGCTGTTGAATTGGTTCCGACTCCCACCTTGTGCGCTGCCTGGTCCCGTGCCATCCTCGGCCGTTGCTGTGTTTGAGCCCATGGTTGCAGCCACTGTCAGTCCATCTCGTTGAGGGTCTCTGTCTTCTTGGCTGACCCTGTCCTTTACCAAGCTTGATTAGGGACTGGCCCTTCCTGATAACGAGTCCAAGGTAACTGAGACCAAGGCTCGCCATCCTTGCTTCTAAGGAATATTCTGGCTATACTTCCTCCAAGACTGATTGGTTCATTCTCCGGTCCTCCATGGTGCATTTAGTACTCTTCAGTGTCCCCTTGCCAAGTGTATTTACTCAGATCCTCTGGGTAGGGGGTCAGGAGTGCCTGTTGAAGCAGCCCTGAGCTCTGGGAGATAAACTGGGTGGACGGACAGCCTGGACCTCACCTTGTGCCAAAGGAAAGGGCCAGCTCCCACTGTAGCTTCTCTTATGGGTCCAGGGCTTGCCCACCCCACCCTGAGAGCCCCCGAATGGGCCCTGCAAAGCAGAAAACCAAAGACCCAGAGTGGTAGGCTCCTGAGCCCGCGCTTCCCTTCCTGAAACCAGCCTCTGGTCCTGGGGCCTGAGGGTGATTCTCCGACCTCCACCTTTAGTGATTTTCCTCTCTGGACATTCATTGGTGGTTCGCTGGGAGAATTCTCACCTGTGCGGCAGACTCGGCTGCGATTCTGGCCAGTGCACCCCGTGTGAAGCGCCGCCCGTCTGTCAGTGTGTTGCTGGATGCGGAACAGGATTCAGCGGAGCTTCCAGACGCAGACAGACTAGGCAGAGAGGCCTGGCAATCTCTCTCTGAAACCAGCCAGTGAACACTGGGTGGATCACAATGGTCTGGTGTGCCACCTGTCATGGGGATGGCGTGGGACCAGGCAGTGTTTTGTTCTGTTGTGACTGGGGTCGCCATGAGTTGGGGGCTGCTTGACAGCAGCTAACAAGAAGTGGGTGGCCCATGGGGTCGGTGGGGGTGGCTTCTTGGGTGGGGCTGGACCAGGGGCCAAGTAGCTTCCTCAGCCTCCTCTCCTGCTTATTGCCTGCGTGGGGGCTGGGAAGCAGATGTCTGTCCTTCCTGGAATGATCTGTAAACAAAAACTAAGTGGGCTTTGGGCAAAGCGGTTGGTGAACTTCTACTCAGCTCCCTTCTCCATGTGCTTAGATGGGCGGGCTTCCCCAAGTCATTCATTTACTCAGTCAGTCATTCATTCTGCTTGAAAGACAGGCACTGTTCCAGGAACAGGGACACGGCTGTGAATGAGGCCGACCGGCCCTGCCCTCATGGCATGCACAGTTCATGATCAAGGTGGTCACTGTGAGGACAGGAAGAGCAGGGGCCCTGGGGGCCCAGAAGAGGGCCTGGGCAGAGAGGGCTTAGGGAGGTGGAGCCGCCCAGGTTAACTGTGATGCCAGGTTTGCCACAATGGGGACAGAGTATTCCAGGCAAAAAAGCTTTCTCAGAGGCCTGGAGGTGGGGCTGGAGTTTGGGGCATGCAGGGAGGCCTCTGGCTAGAGGGAGGAGGGGCAACACTGCCAGCCAGAAACAAATGGGGATCTCAGATGTGCCTGCTCATATGGCTAGTGCCTTTGTCTCTGCCCAGAGAGTCTCAGGTGCCTGGAGTCCCCTCAGCAGCTGCTGAAGTTGCCAGGCCTCTGCTTACACACCTCTCCTGATGGGGAGCTCACTACCTCCTTGGCAGCCCAGGAAAGGTCCAGGTGAGAGTTGGCCTGAAGTTCCTCATTCTCCCAGCTCAGCTCCTGCCCTGGCCATGGCCACTGGCTCGGAGGCCAGATTCTCAGGCCCCACCTAGGCCAGTTTTAGGGTCAGAGAACTTGAGGGGCCCAGGCAACTCAGATGCAGCACTCTGTCTTAACTTGCGTGCCAGACAGACAGACCTCAAGGTCTTGGACTGCAGATGCCAGGTGGGAAGTGTGTGATGAGGGTTGAGGCCTTGGCCTTGCTGTGTGTCTTCGGATACATAGTCACCCTCTCTGGGCCCCTGTGCCTCTGAATTTGGGGAATGACCCCAACACGTAGGACTCCACAAGCAGTTTCAAAGGTTCATGGACCTCTAAGGGATCCTAAAGCCAGGCCAGGGCCAGCCTAACACCCGCACCCCCCAAAGATAGCTCTGATTCCACACTGACCCTGGGTTGGCCACCTACACTCTCTGGGCCTCAGTTTCCCCATCTGCAGTGTGTGTGGGCCATCTCACCCGTCTGTACTTCCATACACACGCCCGTGAGCTCACTTCTGCTTGGTGAAATACCACCCCGGGGACTGGCTCAGGCAAAGGCCAGGAGGCTGGCGAGTGAACCAGGCGATCCCTAGGGTTCTACTGGAGGCTGAGGCTGAGCACCCGGCTGGCACCATGGTCTCCTGGGGGAGGGGAGGGAAACACCTGGGAAGGTCTCTTTAAGACCCTGCTGCGGTAAGGAATAATTAAGCCTTCACAGAGAAACGGGGAGGTGAGAGGGTAGAAACCCAACAGTGTCTGGGTGTCCTCGGTAAAAAGCCCTTGTCATCCCCACCCGGTCAAACCAGGTGCCACAGAGCCGGCGCTGACTTGTGACCCCACGTGTGTCCGAACCACGCTCCATGGGGTTTCCAACGGCTGCTGTTTTGGAAGTGGAGTGCCAGGCCTGTCTTCCAGGGCACCGTTGGGTTGGGTAGACTAGAACCTCTGACCTTTCAGTGAGCAGCGTTAACAATTTCCACCACCCAGGGAGTCTCCCACTTCATTACTGCCCATTTTACTGTGGCTGACACTGTGAGGTCGGCCCAAGGTCATGCTTAGGTGAGCTGCTTGCTTTGTCCCAGGCTCCTGCCCAGTGTGCTGTCCCCACACCTGAGTCCCCTGGGTCCTCAGTCTTCCCTTTTGTACAACGGAGGCAGAGGGCAACTCTCTGCACCTGAGTCCGCCTGGGCCAGTGGGGTCCCTGCAGCCCCGCCTCCGTCTTCCCCCAGACCTAGGGCTCCGGGAGGCAGTTTCTGCCAAGCTGTCAGCCCATTAGTTGGAGGTGCTGCTGCCTCACGTGGCCGCCGTTAATGAGTGCTGGCCAGTGTTAACGAGCTGAGCCCAGGGAGGAATCGCAGCGGGAGGGGGTGGGGGTGGCCGGGAAGCCTGCATCAGCCTCAGCCGGGAAAGCCCTCCTGCACACAGGGACCCACAGCACCTCACCCCTGGGGTGGTTGTGAGCGTGCCAGAAGGGCCGTGGGGGAGTGTCTCCTCTTGTCCCAGACCTGGGCACACCGTCGCTGCCAGGTCTGCTGCCCGGCTCGGCCTGCCTGGAAGTTCCAGATTGTAGCCCCAAAGGCAGACTCTCGGGCAGAGCTCTGCAGGCCTTGGAGTGGGTTCTCAGTGATGTGCTCAGGCGGGAGGTTGTAGGATCTTGGGGTGCCGGGAAGGGGGTGCTGGGGCAGGGCTGAGATCCCAGGGTGCTCTGCTCCCCCACAGAGATCCGCGAGGCCTTCAAAGTGTTTGACCGAGACGGCAACGGTTTCATCTCCAAGCAGGAGCTGGGCACGGCAATGCGCTCCCTGGGCTACATGCCCAACGAGGTGGAGCTGGAAGTGATCATCCAGAGGCTGGACATGGATGGTGAGTGAGGCCGGCACGCCCCAGCCCGCGTCCTCACCGTCACCGGTCCGGCGCGGCGGCTGGGCCTGAGCCACTGGGGCCGCGGCCCCTGCTCCTGGCTGCAGCCACCCTGGGGCGCTCCTACCGCTCATTCTGAGCCACATGGTGCTCTGGTCAGGCCGGGGCCCATTTCTCAGCCTGGAGAGAACGGGGTAACCCAGTCTCCACCAGGGACCAGAGTCTGTGCCTCACTCTGTTTTCCAAGAAGTTTTAAAGGTACAGAAAAGTAGAAGAAAATAACAAATACCCTAATTCCCAGCATCCAATGTTAAAAATCGCTAATTTGCTTGCATTTGCCTCTTGGCATTTTATGAAACAAGAATTACTAAGATTGATCGGTAGTGCCATGTCCCCACCCTCTCATCTCACCTGTGGCCTCCCCCTCTTCCTTTCCAGTCCTAGGCAGGCTCTCGCCTCCTAAGGCATCACTGTCTGTCTGTGTCTGGGGTGTCCCAGGCCCCACACCCATCCCGGGCAGCAGCAGGAGGCTGGAGGCCCACGGAGGGTTGAGTGGAATGAGGGTCTCCCATGTGCCAGCCCCGCTCTGGGCCAAGACTCTACCCCCCAGTCCTTTGGACCCCAGGCTCGGACATGGCCCAGCCTGCTGACTGGCCCTGTGCCTGCCCCAGGTGACGGCCAAGTGGACTTTGAGGAGTTTGTAACCCTCCTGGGACCCAAGCTCTCCACCTCGGGGATCCCGGAGAAGTTCCACGGCACTGACTTTGACACGGTTTTCTGGAAGGTATGTCCTGGCTGGGGACCATCACTCCAAGCTTATCCGACGTCCTGCTTCCCAGAGGGGTCCCTAGGTGGGAGGGGCTGGTGTTTAAAGACACTGGGCACGGGTGAGTGGGTCCCGGCCCTCCAGGATGTGAGCTCGTGTGGGCTGCTGGGTGAGGCGGGGGGCCATGGCGGTGGCCAGAGCACTGTCTCCCCACCCAAGTGCGACATGCAGAAGCTGACGGTGGATGAGCTGAAGCGCCTGCTCTATGACACCTTCTGTGAGCACCTGTCCATGAAGGACATCGAGAACATCATCATGACGGAGGAGGAGAGCCACCTGGGCACGGCTGAGGAGTGCCCCGTGGATGTGGAGAGTGAGTGAGGACCCCCGGGGCCTCAGGGCGGAGGGGACCGGGAGCTGGGAACTTCCTGCCCTGCCCTGAGCCCCGGTGTCCCTGCGTGCCCATGGGGTGAGCCCCTCCCGAGTCTGTGCGCAAGGGAAGGTGGCCCTTGATTCCATTGGTTCGCTGTCTTATCTCTCCCGCTCTCCGGTGGCCACAGCCTGCTCCAACCAGCAGATCCGCCAGACGTGCGTGCGCAAAAGTCTCATCTGCGCCTTCGCCATTGCCTTCATCATCAGCGTCATGCTGATCGCGGCCAACCAGGTGCTGCGCAGCGGCATGAAATAGGCCCCTGACGGGGCGCCCCATCTGGCGCATGCGGTGCATGGGGCCGCTCCACACCCACCGCCGCCCGCAGCCTGTCTCCCTCCACTGGCTCCCTGGGCCGCCGTCGGTATGGACTCTTAAGGCCCAGATGCGGGCGACCCCACCACCCTCCTCGCCGCGCTGGGCCTTGCATGGAGCTGTGGCCTGGCTGAGGGGAACCCGGTGGCAGCTGAGGACGGCCCCCAGCCCCGCCTGCACACGCCCTGCCCGTGCCCCCCACCCGGCCTGTATGTAGCACTAACTCTTCCCGCTGTCCAGCGGCTCCTGGGAGGTTGAGGGATTCGCGTAGGAGCCCCAGGGCCCGGTCACTGCTCTGGCCCCTCCTGTGAGAGGGGGTGCCCTTTGCCCAGAGATGGCAACCCTCAGGCCGCAGCCACACAGCCAACCTGACCCTGGCCCCTGGGGCTGCCCAGGGCTGTGGGCAGGGTGGAGGCGGCCATGAGACAGGGGTCTCCCTGGGTCCCTGGCATGGCCTGAGGGGGTTCCTGGCCCTTTGCCGGGTCCCTCCTTCTGATCCTCCTAAGCTTAGACCCAAACCCAGCCTCTGTTTCTCTTGGCACCCGCTGGGGCCACAGAGTGAGCTCATTTCACAGGTGAGGAGCTGGATGCTCAGAGGGCCCGGGGATTGGGCCTCAGCTCCCGCCGTTCAGCAGGGATTCTCAGGAAAGGTGCAAGGTCAAGGGGGTGGGGCATCCGAGGTGGCCCTGCAGCCCCCACCTCCTGGGCCTGCCAACCCAAGGGCCACGTCCTCCATCCCCAGCACAGAAAACAGAGCTGTAGCGCAGCTGGGGATCAAGGCGGGCTGGGGGCCCGGAGGCTCTAAGAAGCCTAAGCTGCCCATGTGACCTCCGCAGGCCAGAGACCTCAGAAGGCAGCCCACCCTGTGCCATCGGGGCCCAGAAGCTCAGACAGGCGCCTCCGGGGGCAGGGCCTGCCCTCCTGGGCCCCTCACTTCTCTGGCCCCCCAGGCGGAGACCCAGCTCATGCCCTGCCCCCACCGGGCCACCCTGTGTGCTCGGCACCACTCGGCACACGCAGACACGGGGGAAGGGGGCTGCCAATCTGCCCGGGCTGGAACAGTAGGTGGAGCTAATGCTCAGGCCTGGCCACAGGGTCACAGCCACACCGTGGCACCCTGCTCGGCTGTGACGTGTCTCTGCCAGCCCGAGGGAGAGACGCCCGTCCCACCCCAGCCCGTCCACTCTGCCCAGGGCCAGAGACCAGAGCCAAGGGCCAGGGCCATGCAGCCAGAGCCATGGGGAGACAGATTCTCTTTATAAACATCCAGAAGTTCATCGCTCACATGTCCTGGGAGGGAGGGTGGGTGACAGTGCCTGGCTCAGTCCTGGCGCCAGAGGTGCACCTGGTGGAGGGCCTGGGTCTCACGAGGCCCGACGGTAATTTCAGCCGCTCTGTGGGGTCTCCCCAGTCTTTGTCTGTCTGGTGATTGACAGACAGTCTGACCAGGTGAGGGCTCAGCCCCACTGGACACTAGGCTGCAGGGGCCACCCCCCGGGGGGGGGTGCCCGCAGGGACGGGGGCAGCTCCTGTACTGGTGGCCAGCCCACGGGGTACTGGAAGATAGCAGTTCTGGCAGGTTCAGCCCTAGAAAAAAGAAGGCAGGAGCATTAGATTAGGACATCCCTGGGACTACCTCTTCCCACCTCAGCTGTGGGGAGGGTCGCTGCCTGCCCAGCCCTTCTGGACGGAGAAGCAGCTCCTTTGGGCCAGCAACCTCACCTCTAGGGACTGAGCCCAAGGAAAGGGCTGGATTGTGGGCAGAGATTTAGTGACAAGAACCACCACCCCAAAATGGAAACAGCCCAAGTGTCTACCCGTGGGGGACTGATAAGACATTATGCACGTCCACAAAAGAGAATGCTATGCAGCCTGTGTCAAAATTAAGGCAGACTTACATGCACTGACGAGGAAAGACGTCATGATGTACGATGTGAGTCGGGAGAAAAAGCAGCTTATAAAATAATGTATATAGCATGACACTATTTTTGTTTAAAGATATATAACATATATAAATGCATAAAAAATCTGGAAGACACAGCAAAATGTTACGGGCGATTTTTTTACTTCTTTATACTTTTAAAAAGTTTTACATAAGCACGTAAGCCAGTGAAATCAGAAAAAAAATATGAAGTCTAAAATTTTTTAAAAGCCTCATTTCTCATGCTGCTCTCCTCCCCTGCAGGCCCCCAGCCCCTGCCAGCTCCCTCAGGCCCGTCTGAAGTGCCCGTCTTCGGTCAGGCGTCCTCTGTGCCCAGCCCAGGGCCGCTCCTTCCTGGGAGTGGACGGGCCGGCCCTCCCTGCCTCTGGACCTGGCCCCCTCTGGGCGGCTCCGTGGCCTCTCAGGCCACGGAGCATTTTCAATCTTGTGTCCCACTCCTCTGGGAGGTTGTCTGTCTTCTCTACTGGACTTGGAGCTCGTGGGGGTGGGGGTCAGCGGGTGATTGGGCGGGGTCTGTCTGGACCCTCGGGGCCCAGAGCCGGGCACAGGGCGGCCGCCCAGTGAATGTCTGCTGAATACATACGGTAATGCTGACAAGCACTCATGATGAGGCCCTACTCTGGATCAGATACCATGGCCAAAGGGTCCTTAAGAATCCTTATAAGCCACCCCTTTTTACAGATGAGCAACTGAGGTGCAAGGAGTCATGTTACCTATTCAGATGTCACAGTCGGGGGGATGGGGGGGGAGGGGAGGATTGTAACTTAGACATCAGCTCCTGTGGTTCCCCTCCCCCCTCATTCCCTGGACTCCAGAGCGCTGGCGCCCCTCCCCCCTGCTCAGGCCCAGTAACCGAGCTCCGGGCAGCTCCTGGCAGGCTCGGGGCCCAGTGGCTGACCCTCTGAAGAAAGGGAAGGGCCCTCAGGAACTCTGAGGTGTGGAGAGCTCAAGCCTCTGAGGTGGAAGTGGGGAGACTGGAAGCTTGCCTCCCTGTTGGCACCCCACCCACCTAATGCCTGGCCACTGGCCCAGGCACCCTCACTGCAGTCTCCAGGGGCTCCTGGGGTAAGGACAGGGAAATCCTAGCTCAGCCGGTGGCTGCTTGCTGGAAAAACTGAAGGAAAGCAGCTCGTGGCATGACTTACGGCGCCGGGAGACCTCGTAACCGCCAGCTGCGGAGCAGGGTGGAAGTGGAGGCGGCGCCACAGTCACGCGAAGGGAGTGCGCCAGCTGCCAGGCAAAGCAGGCTTCCCGCGGGCTCAGGGTTGACGGCAGTGCTCCCCCCGGGCGGGCTGACCCCAGAGAGACCCCCTTCCCCTAGAAAACTGGCAAGATCGCCCAACAGCTGGGAGCCAGCTCCTGGGTCCAGGCTCAGCCTGGTGCCCCGGTGCCAAGGCCCCTTTGGCAGGAGGGCACCCGCTGTGTGTGCCCTCAGATGCTTGTGACCTGGCTGACCCCCGGAGTGCGCCCTCCAGCCCTGCACAGAGCGGACAGTGACGGTGAGGCGCGTGTGCTGCGTGGCCCATGTCTCCAGTGCACAAAGACAAGGGCCGTCCTCTTCTGTCTTTCTCAAGCCATGTCCTAATCATCAGGAGAGAGTCCTGGAAGTGGCTGGGCAGCGCTGGCCCAGAGAGGGGTTCTCAGGAGGAGATTAAATGGGATAAAGTTACAATCTGAAGAGCTAACAACAGGAAGCAGGGACAAGCGGACAAGCGCTGGCCTCGCCAGGGGGATTAGTCTTCACGTCTGAAGCTGGCCTCTCCCTCCCAGACGTCTGCTCTTGGCAGATACCTCAGGGTCAGTCTGCTGAGGGGGAAGGGACAATACCGCCAAGCTGGGGCCTCATGGAGCTGCTATTTCCTGAGCTGACAAGGAGGGCTGGTCTGCTTGGCTGTGTGGGCTTGAAGCCTGGAGGTCTGGGTGGTCCCACAGTGGGCCAGGCAGCCATCATGCCCTATACCCAGGGGGAGGAAACAGACACCAAGAGAGGAACTGGGGCTGAGATTCCCGACCATTCCCTGCCAGGGGCTCACGGCCAGGTGATAGACCTCTACGTTGGCCCCCACTCCCCTGAGCGTGCACTCACATACCCACCATGCACTGGGGCACACGCTGGCCTGGGCCTGCCCTTCTGGAATGAGGACAATGTGTGGTCAAGGGCATGAGGGGAAGCTGGGCCCATCGGGCCCTTCCTGAGGACGTGACTTCTTAGGCAAAGCTTGAAGTTGTCTACCAGTCCAGAGGTGGGGAGGCAGAGGAAAAAGCCCACACAAAACACTGCAAAGTCAGTGGCGGCCATGACACTTAAGCGGCCAAGCATCCAGCGTGACGGACCCAGAAGCTAGATGGGAGAGGTGAGAATGTCACCACCATGGGACCGGGAGGTGGCAGGGAGGTCCCCGGCCCTGTGAGCTGGGCTGTGGAGTCTGGAGTCTCTCCTGAGGTAGAGGAAGCCCAGGAAGGTCTAAGCAGGGGAGGCCGGGGCCAAGCAGCATTTCAGAAACTGGGTGGGTGGGTGTGAGGAAGACAAACTGAAGGGGCAGAGGGGAGGTGTGGAACTGGGGAGTGGGCTGCTGTGGCCTCTACGTGGGCGAGGGGCCCAGCAGGACACTGACTTGGTGGAAACTGCCTCCTTTCTGCAGGCCTGGCTTGAGGCTGGGGTGGGTGGCTAAGGGGTACAGTGAAGGCCACGGGTGCAGGGACAGCTTAAAGCCCACAGCGGGGCTTGGGCATCATTTTTCACAAGGCAGGACTGCAGGGAGAGGGCTGCGGAAGACTGAGGCACCAAGGGCAAAAGTGACGCTGAACGGTCAGCTCTGCTCCGACAACCCATTTTCTCCAGGCTGGACGGGCTGTCTGCCCAGAGAGTAGTTCCTTTTGGCTCAGAGCCCTCAAGAGGCAGGTAGACAAGCAATGGGTGCAGAGAACAAGTGGTGTGAGGAAAGCACATCCCTGGAAGTGGCCAGGTTGGGTGCCACAGGAAGAGGGCTTGAGGGGCAGGGCTCAGACCCCTGGGAGAGTGGCCTGGTCCCTGGTTACAGGCTCCATTCTGGAAACAGCCACTCCTGTCCCAGCATGCGGCTGCTGTTGCTGCGGGCCTCCCGCTGGACAGGGCCCTTGGCCAGCCCTGCACGTGGCCCATGTGACAGAGGTGCCCAGGGTCCAGCCTGGAGCAGGGACTCTTTATTAAGTGATGGGTAAGGGCAGCGGGGGTGTGACGACCCCCTGGAGATGTTCAGATTCTTCAGCTGCCAAATGGATGTAATTCCTCTAAATGCCTAGATTGCCAGGCACACGTAAGCACCAGACAACCGGGCATCGTGTGGTCCTCACCTCTCCCTCTGACTCTGGCCAGTCATTCACCTGTTTCCCCATCTGCCCCCCTGGGTCCTCCGCATCTCATGGACACAGGGACTCTGCATTAGCGTGCACTGGGACACACCTGTCTACACCCAGGTGGGGACTCTGGAGAACCCTGTCTCTACAGTCTCCGAGGTACCAAGGCCTGAGTTACTCATCCCAGGGTAGGAGCCAAGGAGGCTCAGGCAGGGAGGTGAGTGGCAGGGTAAAGTAGGTAGTAGCAGAGCACAGGTGGAATCCAGTGTGGGCCGGGTACAAGGAGCAGTGGGGGTGGGGGGAGTGGGACTGAACTAGGCTCCTGATTCCACGGAAGCTCCCTGGGACCTCATCCTGGGGCAGCCTCCGGCCAGTGCAGCCTCTGACACACAGGCTGAAGGAGGCTGGGTGCCGACAGGGATCCCTGATGAGAACCAGTTCCCAAGGGAGTGTCCACATGACCAAAATCACAATCCTTCAGATAGGCCTGGCAAGAAAGTACGTCACACTCACCATTTGAGTTATGTCTGTACTTTTATAAGGTAAGAGGGACAAAAACTGGGTACAGATTGAAAATATGGGTCAAAAACCAAGTTATGTTCTATATCTTAGTCTGGTGAGTATTATCTGGGGTATTGTCTTAAAAGCTTGCAAGCAGCCACCAAAGGCACAACTGCTATTCTCTACTCATGTTGGAATAAAAGAGAAGGAAACCAAAGACTCAGAGAAGAAATTAGCTGACAGGACAAACAAGCTACACAAACTACGGCCTCATCTACTGTGAGACCAGAAGGAACTAGATGGTGCCCAGCTACCACGACCAACTGTTACGATTAGGGCTACAATAGATGAACCCTGATCAAATGGGAGAAAAATGTGTAACAGAACCTCAACTTCCTAAGAAAACCCCAAAAACCATACCTATGGGATTGGCTGAGACTAGAGGAGTCCCTGAGACTATTGGCCTGAGATAAAATTCAAACTGTGAACCAAAACTAACCCCTGAGGTCACCTTGTCACTAAATAACAGACTGGCTCAAAAAATAATGAGTATCATCCATAAATACTATGTTCCTTTAAGGAACATATCACATCATCTGTATGAGAGCAAATGGTCAACAATTTAAAACAAAGATGAGAATGTAAGGGGGCAGGGAAACTAGATGAATGGAAATGGAACCACCAGAACGGAAGCAATGAGGATGTTCATGCAACGTGAGGAATGGAACCAATGTCACTGAACAACTTGTGTGGAAATTGAATGGGGACCTAAACTGCTGTGTAAATCTTCATCAAAAACACAATAAAACATTATTTTAAAACACGAAAGTTAATTTTAAAATATCTTCTTTTTTTTCACTGAGCACAAAGAAGCACACCCTTCCCCTCCTAGAGGGGCCCCTCTAGGAAGGCCTCACCCCCAGATGGCCTGACCACGGTCCCCTGCTAAACCATGGAACTCCAGGAAGGACCTTGGAGATAACTGGGTTGGATGCCCCATTTCACGACGGAAGTGAGGAGGCTCAGGGTGGGACAACTTGCACAAAGTCATACACAGCTTACGAGCACATCCTTTAAAGCGCTTGTCCTCGTCTCTGTCTCTTTCAATACCTGCTGGAATTGCCCAGGAAGACCTGGCATTGGCCTTGACTGTGATGCTCTGTGGTCTTCCGAAGTCCTTGTCTCCCCTGTGCCTCAGTGAGTGAGAGATGTGTTGGCAGAGGCTCTCTCCCCTTGAGGAGGAGGGTACGGCGTGGCATGCAGCCCACACTGAGGGCCCCTTACCCAGCACAAGAGCTACAGGGGCTCCCTGTCCACTTCTGAGCATCAAGTGCTGGGCCTGGCCCACCCTCGCCCCTTTTCTGGTGGGACAGGGGTCTTGTCACACTGTGCAATCCCAGCTCCGCCTCTTCCTAGCTGTGTGCCTTTGTGCAAGTCATACCCGACTGTGAGCTTCAGTTTCCCCTCTGCACAGTCAGGTGGACGTGGGTAATGGCAAAGCCAAGGCGAGAGTGGGTAAGGGAGTGGGGGTGCAGTGACCGGCACCCAGGGGGCTGTCAGTAACCAAGGGCTCCGGCCCCTCCATCCGGAATGGAGCAGTGATGTGCAGTCTAATCTGCTTTGCCACTCCAATGTGGAGACGACCAGCTGAGGGACAGGGCAGGGCCAGGGAAACAGGTCTGCAGGCCCAGCAGCTCCTGATAGCGCCCTGCCCTCAGGGAACTGCTGGGGAAGTCATGTCTGCCTCCTGGGCCTGGGCAGGTCACAGACTCAAGACATGGCTGGGGTCTTGCTCTTAGAAGGATGGGAGGAGGGGACCCATGGAACCTCTACCTGCTGCTTGGAACTGAGCTCAGCCGCTTGGCTCTCTTCTCCAGCCAGTCCTCCAGATGGACCTCGGGGAGTTCCACAGTGTCTGGCGGCCACTCCTTGGCCCGCCTCTCTTCTGCAGAGAGAGAGGCTAGTGAGGGACACACTCAGGCCACCCTGAACCTCCCTCCCAAGCAGCAGAGAGCCCTTATACCGCCATTACCTCCCCAGACGTCAAAGCCACCCCTCTGGCGTCTGCGTCTCAATCCAGTGGAGGCCATGTTGGTGCCACCCAAGCTTTTTAGGGCTCGAAGCAGGAAGAGAGAGGTTGAGAGCCCGGCACTTGGTAGTGTCCAGTTCTAGGGGTATGGGGAGACAGCATGGGCCCAGAACCAGGCAAAGTGGGGCCACTGGCCAAACCTGTGACCCTGAGCAGTGTAATGAGCCTGACTTCCCTGGCTTTTCCTCTCCTAAGAATATCCGACAAAATCCTTTGCTAGTGGAATTAAAACAAGCCACAAAGAGCTTTCACGCTCGCTGGGCATGAGAGTGGGACGTGGCCAGAGGGAAACAACCTTACCTGCTTGTGGCCCGACTGCTAACTTTGTGCCAAGCCCAGGGTGTAAACATCCAGGTGTGGCACCTCACCCCTTTTTTTTTACTTTTATTGTGGTGAAAACAAATACAACAAGACATTCACCAACATAACAGCTCAGGGCCATTGATGACATTTTCCATGTTGTGCCACCATTATTGCTATCCTTCCCCAAAATATTCTACCACTATTAGCATAAATTCGATGTCTTGCAAACAAGAGCTTCCCCCTTCCCCTTCCCTCCTACGCCTGGTAACCACTAGTAACCTTTCTACTTATTTGTTTATTTACTTTCCCAGCCTATCTAGGAATTTTGTCTCCCTTCCTTTCCCATCCCTGGTAACCAACAAAGAATGTTTCCTCCTATGTACAAACCTTTCTGTGACTTTTTACAACAGACTCACTCCATCTTCACAAGCACCACAATGGACAGTGCACAATGGCTCCAAGAGGCTAAGCCACGTGCTGAGGTCACAGCTGGACAGGGCAGAGCGAGCACTGTCTTGAGTTTCTGGCTTGGGGCACATATCTGCTCCCGGCTTCCGCAGGCCCCTCTATATCCCCGTCTTCACCAAGCATGTCTCTAGCTCCAGCCCTATGACCCGTGGTGCCTTCACCAACTGTTCCCCGAAAGCCCAAGGCTGTGAAGAGCTGGAGATGCTGCCATTGCCAGGACTTGCTGGCCGGCCCCGCGAGCCCTCACTTCCACTGGGAAAGCTCCCGGAAACCCTGTGATTGTGCCAGGCTGCAGCCACACTGCCGTCAGCTCCCCAGGGGCCAAGGGCAATGGTCAGATTGCCCTGGAACACTCACTGGCTCCCTGAGACTCCCTGGACATAGTAGGGGTGAGGGCGCCACGCTAGCAGACCCAGCCCGCCTCTGACGTGCTGGGGGGCTCAGGCACGGCCCTCTCCCCTGGCACTGTCTCTGTTTCCCCATCTGGCCAATGAGGCGCTGCGAGAGAAAACCAGGATGAAGTCCCTCTATCAGGGGTTCCCTGTTCTACAGTTGGAGAGAGTAGGCATGCCAGTCCCCTTCTTCCACGGGAACTGAACACACTCTTCCCCTGGAATCACCAGGCTACGAGAATCGAGAATCCCAAGGGCAAGGAAGGTGCTCACTTCATCCCTGTATCCCCAGGGCACAGGAGGGCCATCTGCCCAGAGCAGAGTAGGGGCTCTGTATATGTTGCAAGATTGAAGGAGGGACTGAAGAGTGACAGGCTTGCAGCCATTCAGGGCTCAGGTGGGCAGAGGCACCCCCTCAAGGCTCCTGGGTATGCAGCCATGCAGGCATCACCTTGAGACCCACGGGGGCACAGACGCGAGGTCAGGCCTGGAGTGGTCTAGAGGCAGGTCCTGACACCTAGCCCAAACTGGGGTTTGGGGTTTCCCCATCACCCTGGGTAGCCCTTGGCCTCCCCTGCACGGCAGCCACCAGAGAGGGGATGGTGGGGAGGCACTGGGCAGCTTCTCCGTCTCAGATCCTGCTTCACCTCCCCAAGACCCCTGGCAACAAACCCCCACCCTGGCCCGGGTCCCTGCCGAGACGCACCTTCCACCTGGAGGCTCAGCTCCTGCAGGTCTCGCCCGGACATGTGGGAAAATCTGCACTTGGAGCCGAAGTCGCACTGGCCTGTGGAGGGAAGGCAGAGTCACTCGCTGCTCGGGAAGGAGCCCACAGTGGGCTCCCGAGGAGTCTCAGGGGCAGGACCTAAGGGACTCCGCCTCTGAACAAAACTGGGAGCTTCTCTGGCCTCGTCTGCACACAGCAGCCAGAACAACCTTCCTGATGCGTTTCCCTGCTCAAGCCCCTGCCCTGGCTACTGCTACTCTGGAGTCCAATCTGACTGTGGCCTTCCGTGCAAGTGTGTTGCGTCACCCCCTCCTCCCTGCCCCCGTTCCTCAAAGAACTCGGTGGGAGTCCCCGGAAGGGTCAGGTTTCTCTCCGTCCAAGCCCCTGCATGTGCTGAGCCAGCAGCTGGACCACTCATTCGAAAAGCTTTAAGGGCAGCTTTGTCAGGGAAGTACCAAAGTGCAGCGGGCTTTCTGAATCTCAGCTGAGGAAACCAAAATGCATCTCCAAATAACAGGGGACTGGGGGCCTCCTAAGGAGCTCTGGTGGCGCAGTGCCTAAGGCATTTGACTGCTAACCAGAAGGTTGGCGATTCAGACCCAACAGTCACTCCACAGAAGGAAGACTGGCCAATCTACTTCCATAGATTACCACCTCGGGGGGTTGCTATGAGTCATAATTGACTCAATGGCAGTGAGTTTGGGGGCCTCCTAGGAGCTCTGGTGGCATAGTGCTTAAGACACTTGACTGCTAACCAGAAGGCTGGTGGTTCAAACCAACCAGCCACTCCTCGGAAGGAAGGTTGGGCAATCTACTTCTGTAGTGATACTGCCTCGGAAACCCGAGGAGGAGTTGCTATGAGTTGGGGCCAACTTGATGGCACATAACAACAACAACAACAGGAGCTCTGGTGGTTGCTAACCAGAAGGTCGGTGATTCAAACCCACCAGCTGCTCTGCAGGAGGAAAATGGGACAATCTACTTCTGTAAAGATCTGCAGCCTTGGAAACCCTACAGGGATCGCTAAGTCACAATCGACTGGATGACAGTAGGTTTGGTTTTCTTTTTTGGTTCCTTCACTTGCTTAGGTTTTTATCTGTTTGAACTGTATGCGTCTTTTTTATTGGCCGAGTATGGATCCATCAAGTCAACACCTAGCACCCTTGGTTCTAGTCCGGACTGTCCTCAGCAGCCTCAGGCCCGTGACAATCTCTGGCCCTGATCGCTGGGAGGGAGGGCGCCAGCTTCGTGAGCTAGTCTATCACACCCATCAGCGTCTCCTCGATTGACTCTCAGTCTCTGGTGCCTGCTTGTTCCAGAGGACAAAATCACATTCTAGGTCTCAAGAGCCGAGGACCAGGCCCCAGGAAGCCTGAAGGTCAGCCAGGGCAGCCAAGGTCACAAAGTGGACTCAGGGTGGTGGCTAGGGGGCACCCTGGGTCTGCTGGTCACTGGAGGACCTAAGCAGAATGGAGTGGTGTACCTATCAGCAGAAACTTCCAGCAGGGCCGTTTGTTCTGCTCGTCTACCAAGATGGTGGCTGCATCTGTAAGAGAACAGAGGGGCAGGGTTCAGACAGGCTCCACCAAAGGGCTTGGGAGGTCAGGGTGGGGGCCATGGGCCTGGACTTCAGTTAGACCCAAGCACCTTCTTGCACTGAGGTCAGCTGGGGGGAAAGGAAAGAGCTCCCCATCCACAGAGGAATGAAGCAGCGGGTGACACAGATAGGGATGCTGAGCAGTGAACTCTAGCTTTGGGAGACCCCAAGCCCACCCACCCCATCCAGAACCAGCCCAGGGTAAGAACCGGCTTTTAAATCAGAGACTGTTGACTTTGGCCATGCAATGGAATCACCTTGGGGAGTTCTGAGAAGATCCTGGTGCCACAGGACCTCTCTGTGCTGTCTTTGTAACTTCCTGTGAATTGACAATTATTTCAAAATAAAAGCTAAAAAAAAAAAAAAAATCCTGGTGCCCAGGAGCCCACCAGCCAATCCCAGGGTGTGGGCATCACTCTACAACCATGACTGAACCCAGCTGTTCTCGGTTTTCCCTCCAGACACTAGTGGGGGGCATTCCAGAGCCAGGCTGCACCAGCCACGACAGGGCTTGGTGGCAATCCTCCCGGATATTAACCCTAGCCCTGCTACCCTCTGATTTTTCTGACCTTTATTTTCATCACACATGCATTGTGTACATGCTTCTTTGTAGGCAAGGTATTATTCGACCAAAACTGACAGGTAAGACCTTTAACTAAGGTCATTGCCCTGACTCGAGGCCCTGAGGTCCGCCCCAGAAGAGGGGAGAAGCCAGACCTGTGCTGGAATTTTTCTGGTCCACTCCCTTTTCTAGAGACCACCTGGGATAGAGGAAAGGCCAGGGATTAAGGAACCTGAGCTCAGATCTCAGCCACAAAGGACCACGGGCAAGCTGCTGGACCACTCCAACTCTCACTTTCCCCGTATGTAAATGCAGCAAGTCCCAGCTGGCAGGGCTGCCGTGAAAATGTAACAAGGTTAATGGATGGAAGGCACCTAGCAGAGTCGAGCAGTGCCTCCCCTGCCCTGGCTACACATGAGAATCACCCAGAAACCAAGACCAATTCAATCAGCCTGGAGGGTTGGGCCAGGCCTCCAAATCCTGTTATTCACGTGGTGGGAATATGCAGCCAGGACTGAGAACCTGTACAGTAGGTGCTCAACACACGAAACAATTCTTATTTCCTTTCTCTTCACAATCTTGCTCCATGGTGCTCACATCCCCATTCTACAGAGGGGGAAATTGAGGTTCAGAGAGGGAAAATAATCTGCCCAAGGGTATACACTTAGGAAGTGACAGCACCAGGTCTGACCCCTGGGGTGTGTGTGTGTGTGTGTGTGTGTGTGTCAGGCCTGCTCTTGCCTGTTCAATGGGCTGCAGGGCAGACCCCGGAGGGGGGTCCTTCCTTCCGCAGGCAGGACAGCAGTATGGGAGAGGCAGGCGCTCCAGGGCTGGGAGTTGGTTATCAGGGGACTCACTCCAGGGTGGTCGGGCAGAGCTGTGGAGGGACCCAGCACAAGGGGTAAGGCCCCTTCTATCAGCACTGGGCTGCTGAGCCTCAGCCCACGCAGCTGGAGCTGTCCTGCCTGCCCTTCCTGGGGAAGGTGGGCTGACGCGGGACGGGGAGTGGACATCGCCTAGCACCTCCTGGGGGCCAGGGCAGCTGAGGCTGGAGCAGGGCTGCGCCTGATGCCTAGATAAGGGCCCTGGCTGGATGGCTGAGTATGGCAGAACGGCTCCTAGCTGCTCAGCGTCTGACAGGTGGTTCTCATCCCTGGCCAAACATCAGAATCACCAGGCCATTTGCTCCAAAGGACTAACAGAGCACATGAACCCCAGCCTTCATGACTCTGAGACGGGAACTAGGTGGTACCCAGCCACCACTGCTGACTGCTCTGAAAGGGATCACAATAGAAGGTCCTGCAGACAACAGGACAAAGTGTGGAACAAAACTCAACACCATAACAAAGACCAGGCTTTCTGGTCTGACGGAGACTGGTGAACCTCTCAAGACTGTAGTAGCTCTTAGCCATCCTTCAAGCCTGGAACTGAACTCACCCCCCGGCTCAACTTTCAGCCAAATGAGAGGCAGGCCTGTAAAGTGAACACCAACAGCAGGGAAGTCCACACTCCTTCGAACAATCAACTGTATGAGATTAAGAGGGCAGCGTCTGCCCAGGGATAGGGCTCAGAAGGCAGAAGGGACTGGAAAGAAGGACCGAGGGAAATGGTAAACACAGGGAGGAAGTGGGGCGAGTGCCGTTGCCTTGTGCGGATTGCAATCAAAATCACAAAACAAATGTATGAATTGGTGAATGGAAAACTAATTTGCTCGATAAACTTTCCCCTAAATCACAATCAAAAGTGAAAAACAAAACAAAGTACATGGCAGCCAGGGCCCACTCCCCAGACTCTGCTTTAACGCTCTGAGGGGAATGAGAATTGTTCAAAGCTCCTCAGTGACTCTTCCTTGCACCCAGACTTGCTGTTGTTGTTATGTGCCGTGGAGTCAGATCTGACTCACAGCGACCCCTCCTTGGGTGTCTGAGGTGGTATCACAACATTAGTCCAGGGTGGAGAAGCATAAAGTGGCCTGTGCTCCTCTCGCCTGGCTTTCAAGGCTCCCGGTGACCTGACCCTGTGGGTCCTTCTCACTTCATCTCCCAACACTGACAGCTGCCCTGGGGCCCATGTTTGCTCATTCATCTAGATGTTCATTTAGCAAACATTTACTGAGGACGTCCTGTGTGCCAGGCACTGCGCCAGGCTGAGGGCTTAGTGGAGAATCAGCCCCATCAGGCCCTTCCTTTTCCAGTCCGGTAGTCGCACTAATCCACGTGGACATCAATGGCGTAAACATCTCGCGGGGGCAGGATGGCCTGACTTGGTCCGGGGATCTGCTGAACGAAGCTCTGACGTGCCTCACCTCACCTGGCTTGGGGCAGGGGCCGAGGAGCAGGAAGGGAATGCCTGCTGGGGGAAGAGTACACGCCAACAGTTCACACAGTGGCCAGTGGGGCTGGAGCTCGGACGGAGAGGCCAGCACGGCATGGGGGCCTGGCCAGATAAGGGCTCTACCCAGAACCCACTACTATAACTATATGTGAGGTACGTCTTCCCATGCCTGGGACAGTGGGCCGTTTCACTCATCTCTGTGCCGTCAGAGCCTGTCTGGGGCCAGAGAACACACAGGGTGCTCACCAAGTGTCGCCTGAATGAGCAGGTTCACACGGTACAGAGCCTGAGCCCCGTCCTTCTGTGGCCCCGTAGGCATCATAAAACTCAAACCAAACCAAACTCATTGCCAATGAGCTGATTCTGACTCATAGTGACACCCTTTGGGTTTCCGAGGCGGTAAATCTCTGCGGAAGTAGATTGCTCAGTCTGCTTTCCGCGGAGTGGCTGGTGAGTTCGAACCACCAACCTTCTGGTTAGCAGTCAAATGCCTTAGGTACTCCACCACCAGGATCATTAAATCCTTAATGAACCATAAGCCATTGTGAGATTGCTGAGCTCTGTCTCAGCCCTGGGAGGTGGGTCTTACCATTATGGCTGTTTCATGCATGACAAAATTAGAGTCACACTGTGAGTGAGTGACACACAGCTGGGACTCACTCCTGGTTCTGGAACCCGAGCTTACCCTTACCATAGTGATGGACTGTCAGCCCCTCTGAAGGCTAAGGGATGAGGCCAAGGCCATGAGGCTGGGGACAGAGGGGTTCAGGTTGTGTCCCAACTCAGCTTCCCAAACTCTATGCGTTGCTTAGGGTAAGGTGGGGCCCAGGGGAAGCTTCTGGGAGCTCTTTCCATCGGGCACCAGCTGCTGGGGGGCTCAAGGCAAGGTGACCCACTGCTCTGACTCTCACAGGCCCCTGCTGCCATAGCGATGTCCCAGCATGCCTCAGCCTCTCTGCAGAGCTGTTCAAAGCACCGAATGTGGAGCGGCTGCAGATGTGAGAGGCCCCTGGGAATTCAGGAGCTCTGAGGAGGGGCAGATGGCTCACGCTGTTTCATCTTTTCTACAAGTAACACGGACCCTTCTGGACTGAGATGCGGACTAGGAGCAAACACCAAGGGGACCTTGAGGCCCAGCTCCATGCCAGATCACAACTCAAATGGGACTTGGGAGACAGGGAGCTTTTGCCTGACACCAGCATCAGAGGCCTCCAGGCACACAGGAGACCTCCTACCACTAAACTCCCCCTTTGCCTCCACTCCCAGCCCATCAAAACCACGGCCCCACCTGGACCACTGAGTGGCTAGGCTGCTCTTGCTTATCTGAGCCTCAGCCTCAGAGTGTCACCATCTGAAACAGGAAGGGCCTGGAAGAGCTTTCCCAATGCCATACCTAGGCCTCACCCCAATCCTGCCTCTGGGGATGGGGCCTGGGACCAGTGGGCTTTTTTTTTGGTATATGGCCCTTCCCTTCACACTAATCAATACTTGTCTCTACCTATCTAGCAGTGTTCCCTCCCTTCCCTTCCCATCCCTGGTAACCAACAAAAAAGTTTCCTTCCACATATAAACCTTTCCTTGCCTTTTTATAATAGTGGACTAATACATATTTGTTCTCCTGTGATTGACTTATTTCAGTCAGCATAATGTTCTCCAAGTTCATCTATGTTATGCGGTGTTTCACAGATTCTACATTATTCTTTAGGGTTGCACAGTATTCCATTGTGTGTACATACCGTAGTTTGGTTACCCATTCCTTGGTTCATGGGCACTTAGGTTGTTTCCCATCTCTTTGCTGTTGTGAATAGTGCTGCAATGAACATGAGTGTATACATATATGTTCGTGTCCTGGATCTCACTTCTTTACAATATATACTTAGTAATGAGATTGCTGCATCAAATGGTAGTGCTATTTCCAACTTTTTAAGGATTCACCATACTGCTTTCCATAGTGTTTGTATCATTTTACAGTCCCACCATGGGACCAGTGATTTTCTATTTCAAGGTCTGAGCAGGGACTTGACTCGACACCCTCTACCCCCAGCATATCCTGTTCCAGGGTTAAGAACCACTGCCTTCGAGTTCCTGACATAAGCAAAGGACAAATGACAAACCATGCAAAGCTGGCCTGCAGCCAGTGCTCGGACCCTTCTCATGAATCTGGTCTCACTTCAGAAAACCATCCCTTCTCCCACGTCTTGGCTGCTGAGACTGTTTCTTCCTTCTGGGCTCAGGGGCCAAACCTCACGCCTTGTCCCAGAATCCTGTTCCCCAACTCAGAGGTGTCAGCTCTGCCCAGCTCCTTCCAGGGCTCTTGCTTCACCCTTGCCCCATGGCCAAGCTTCCTCTCCACTCTGTCCAGCTCTGCCCATCCACATTATGCCAGCTCCCTCCCTCTTCCCCGATGTGTACAGCAGCAATGTCTCATGAGCATCTCAGGTGCCAGGCCCTGTGCTCAGAACTTACATCCCTGAGTGCATTCACCCCAACTGCCTCTGCTCTGAGATGCCTTTCCCAGAAGAGAAGCTCGGTCACTCATCCATCTACCCTGGCATCACTCAACAACCGTTTCTGCACACCTACCACTCACCACGCAGCAGTTTGTTTTTGAATGCAGCTCTGGCCACATTAGCCCCTGCATCAAGCCCTTCAAGGGCTGCCCTCTGCCCTCAAGACACCTGATGCTGTTAGTGCAGACTCTGTAGGCCTCTCAATCTAGTGCCTGCCCTGTCACCAGCTTCAGCCCTTACCATTCTCCCCTCCCCACCAGGTCCCAGGAGAGAGGATTCTCCTTTCTGCCCAGAGACCAGCAGTGCCTTCCTCACGGTTGCCTGTTTCTTTGCAAACTCCCTATCCACAACGTTCACCTCCCAGCACTCCATGTGGCTGGCTTTTCCCCTTTCAGTGGCTGACTTAAACTTCACTTCCTCGGAAAGGCCTCCTCCTTGTCCCCTATATGAGCAGAGCCTGGCACAGCATGTGGAAAACTGCTGGTTAAGACCGTTGTACCCTACTGCCCATGTGCCTCAAGGGACAGCAGCCTCCGATCTGCCACTATTTGGCTTCTCAAAGGGCCCAGACCAGAATTCCTGCTGACCCAGAGCACTTCCTGGGCTGACGGTCAGAAAGATCAGGGAGCAGGACCCCACCCACTCGGCTGCTGAGATGGCAGGCACTTACCTCGGAACGTGTCATACCACACCTTCTTGGCCTTGAGGTGCTGCAGCCCGTTCAGGTGCTTCTTGCGGTTGTGGAGGCTGTCCTGGAAGGAGCGGTCACAGTAGTCGCAGAAGTATCGCTTCCCCATGGCCACGTACACCACGGGCGGCTGCTGCCTGGAAAGCCCCGAAGCATGCATCAGACCCTTAAAGAAAGTGCCACACACCACAGCCCACTGTCCACTGGCCTTGACTGGGCACTCACGGTGGACTGGCCTGAGTCACGGCTTTGCTTCCGGGCACCTGCTCATTTAAAGCTCCCAGCAGCCCATGAGGAGCTACATGGCCCTACAAGGCCTCCTTCCAGAGGGGTCTTTTAACAATAACTGATGCCCAGCCTCCGACCCAAGCCAATTAAAGCACAGCTCCAGTGGGTGAGACCTAGGCACCAATGCTTTTTAAAGCTCCCCCCCACAAAAATAAAAACCCAAACTCACTGCCATTGAGTCAATTCCAACTCAGCGACCCCTCCTTGGGTTTCCGAGGGAGTATCTCTACGGAAGTAGATTGCCCAGTCTTACTTCTGAGGAGTGGCTGGCGGGTTTGAACCACCCGGCTTCTGGTGAGCAGTCAAATGCCTTAGGCACTGTGCCACCAGAGGTCTTCAGGTCATTTTAATTCTAATCTGCAGTCACTGACTCTGCCACCTGGTCAACCTCCCCTGCACCTCCCACCACCTCACTAGCCTCCCCGGTGCCCTGCTCTCTCCATGCCAGTCCCGCCAGCCTCCTTGCTGCTCTTGCCACAGGTCAAGCCGCTCCCACCACAGGGCACGTGCGTCTGCCAGGCTTGCTCCCACAACTCCTTCCATCTCTGCTCAAAGACAACCTTCTTAGTGAGTGACCGGGACTACCCTACTTAAAACTCCAGCCCCTCACTCCAGCTGTTCCCACTCCCCTTATCCAGTTTTATTTTTTTTTCATAGCACTTACCATCTTTGACGTAACAAGTAATTTCCTTATTATGTTTATTATCTCTCTCCCCCCAACAATATAAACCCATGAGGGCAGGAATATTTTCCTTTTATTTATGGCAGAAGGCCTGGCACCTGAACTGGTGTCTGGTACAGAGCAGACAGCCAGATATTTGTTGACTCTATGAGTTCATCCCCATTTTCCATATGGGATAACAGAGGCTGAGAGAGAGGACACGATCTGCTCAGGGTCACACAGCTGGGTCAGAACGCAAACCCAGGTCCCCCAAAATTGTTGCTATCCCGGTATCATGCTGTCAGGGGTTCCTCTTTTCCACAGCCGTGCAGACCCTGGAGAAGCTGAAGAGGGCTTAGGCAGCAAGTGCAGGCAGCTTCCCGAGATTAGCAAACGAGAATGTTGCAGGGACTTAAGACCCCTTAGCCATGGGGATCCACACCTGATCCAGGAGCTCTGTAGCCTAACCAAAAAGCCAGACCAAACCCACTGCCATCGAATTGATTCCAACTCATAGCAACCCCCATTGGGTTTCCGAGGTAGTACATCTTTATGGAAGTAGATTGCCCATCTTCCTTCCATGGAGTGGCTGGTGAGTTCAAATTCACCAACCTTCTAGTTACCATCAAATGCCTTAGGCACTGAGCCACGAGAGCAGCCTAAGGCAGGTGGCAATTCCACGACTCTCAAGGCAAACTCTCAGGTCCCAGTTTGGTGCCACAAGACCAGAGGAGGCGTGGACTCACTCAGGGCCATCAAGTGGGATCTGCAGAGGTAGAGACCCTCAACCTGGAGCTGGAAGCAAGACAGCCCTTCAGGTCTGTGGTCTGAGCCCTCATTTCATGAAGCAGGTATCTGAGGCTCAGGGAAGAAAGGACAGTGTCTTCCTCAAGGTCACGAGGAAACAGCCTTGGTGACTGGCCAAAGCCCCAGACTGCTGGGGTCTGGTAAATAAGGTGAAGCTGGGACCCGATCAACAGGGTGGACTGAAAAGAATGGATCTTGGGATGAAGAGACTGCAGAGACAGCAGAGACGAATCAGCCTCCTGGACAGTCCAGGCAGCCAAGCAATTTGATGGAGAAAGCTGTTCCTGCGGCAGACAGGGACAGCCAGCTATTAAAGTCAAGGGCTGTAATGGGATCGGGAACAGTCAGTCATTCAAAATGAAAACGTATAAAACCTCTCTTCTCCCATTACTGCTGAGAAACCGCATCCCAGACACACGGACTTGATATATTAAATTTGGCAGCTCTAATACACCCCGTCTTGCCAATAAACTTACAGGAATTGGATTGAAATTATAAGAGATGAACGTTTAACGGCCCAGTGCTTAACCAAGCCATTCACGAAGCGTGATGCTCCGAGGAGCTGCTGGCTCTGGAGAGTAACGGGGTAGGGGTGGACAGGGAGGGGTGGCCTTCCAGGAGGCGAAGTAAGAACAGTGGCTCTGCGGCAGACTCAGCTGGACAGAACCACACAGGACACTGAGAAGCTGGCTGTGTGACCTTGGGTAAGTCACTTCCCCTCTGTAGGCCTCTGCTTTTGCTGTAGGGAAATGAGACGGTGGGTCTGATTGGCTGATTGCTTGAGGAGTGATAATAGAGAAGTTAGCTCATTCAAATGGGTTAATAAAAGTAATAAAAAAAACAAAAAACCAAAAAACTTACTGCCTTCAAGTCAATTCCAACTCATAACGACCCCATTGGGTTTCTGAGGCAGTAAATCTTTATGGAAGTAGATTGCCCCATCTTCCTTACACGGAGCAGCTGGTGGGTTTGAACCGCCAACCTTCTGGTTAGCAGTCCAATGCCTTAGGTACCACACCACCAGAACTCCTTAAAAGATTACCTATTATCAGAGCCAATAATTTGTTGAGCACCTACTATGTGCCAGGCTCTAGGCTCAAAGCTTTAAATGTATCATCTCATTTGATCATCAGGGCAACCTGCGAGGCAGGGACTTTTGTGCCTTTTCAAATCAGAGAACTAAGGTGAGAGAAGTGAGGTGACTTAAGCAAGACCAAATCAAAATCACCGTCATCGAGTTGATCCCATCTCATAATGAACCCCACTGGGTTTCCGAGGCAGTAAATCTTTATAGAAGCCTCATCTCCCTTCCACGGAGTGGCTAAAACAAAAACCAAACTCACTGCTGTTGAGTCGGATCCGACTCATTGCGACCCCTTCTTGGGTTTCCGAGACAGTATCATGACAGAAGTAGATTGCCCAACCTTCCTTCCGAGGAGTGGTTGGTGGGTTTGAACCACCAGCCTTCTGGTTAGCAGTCAAATGCCTTAGGCACTACGCCACCACAGCTCCTGTGGAACGGCTGGTGGGTTTGAACTGCCAACCTTCTGGTTAGCAGTCAAATGCCTTAGGCATTGTGTAATCAGAGCTCCTTTACCCAAGACCACACTGCTAGAAAAAAGCCGAGCTGGGCTTAGAATCCTGGCAGCAGACCCCAAAGCCCACACTCCCAATCGCTTATCAAAGTCTCTTTCCAACAAATCACAGTGACCACTGCTTTCCTTTGTCAATCTCTCCCTGTACCCCTGGGACTGTCACTTTAAATACCAAGAGATATGAGGAAACTGAGGCTCAGAGAGGTCACCCCACTAGAAAGGTATAGCAGCCTGGCACTCAGATCTGCTGGGAAAGCCTGTGTTCACTATGCTTTGCTAACTGTCTCAAATAGCAACCCATCCAGGAAACCAAGACCACAGGCCTTCTCTCCTCTCCCTCACCACTGGCCCAGCAACACTGACCCAAATGATGGGCTGGGCTGTGCCCGTGATCCTGTCTCCCCCTCTCTCCCACACACACCTACTTGTTGGGTGGGCAAACTGGGCCAACCGTCCCATTCACGTCCTCAGTCTGTCAGCCCACAGAGCCGCTCATGCCTACCCATGCCTCCTTTGCCCGCCCTGGCCACCCTCACCTGCAGTGGCTGAGTGGGATATGCTCAGCAGACCAGGACAGGCAAACGGGACCCCACGTTCTAGTTCCCGCTCTGCCAGGACCACAGAGAGGCCCTGGCTCAGTGCCTTGCCCTCTCTGGGCCTCAGTTTCCCCATATATAAAGGAGCAAGAGGGTGGCTGGACCAGGTGACCTCTAAGGATTTCTCTAGATCTAATATTTCGTGATCAGATGGGAAGATGCCCATGACTGCGCCCTCCGCCATGCCTGATACAAGAAGCACTTGCAGCGCTCAGGCCGGGGAGAGTGGCGGCAGCAAGGCCCCCCTGGGACCAGAGTCCACTGAACACGATCCAGGCAGGGCCCTTTACTGAGCGTCTCGCCCTGCAGGGCTGCTTCCACCACCCGCATCTCAGAAGGGGGCACTCCACTAGGGAGGGACGAGTGCAGGGCCCGCCATCACCTCGCTCCATGCCCAGGAGCCATGTGGGGAAAGGGCTGAGAGCCGGGCTCTAAAGTTAGACCCACTGCCCTCAAGTCGGATCCGACTCACAGTGACCCCTCCTTGAGTTTCTGAGGCAGTATCACTATGGAAGTAGATTGCCCAACCTTCCTTTCAAGGAGTGGCTGGTGGGTTTGAACTGCCAGCCTTCTGGTTAGCAGTCAAGTGCCTTAGGCACTACACTACCAGAGCTCCCCTGAAGTTATTAGACAGTCTGGATTAAATCTAGATGTCACTGCTTTCTACCTCTGTGACTTTGTGCAGTTATTTATTTATTTTTAAATTTTATTGTGATTTGGATGAGTTTGCAGAGCAAATTCATTTTCTGTACAACAGTTCAGACACATTTTGTTTCATGACATTGACTACAATTCCCCACAATGTAACAGCTCTCTTCCCACTTCCTGCCTGTAGTTACCTCTTCCCTGTGTCCTTCTTTGCTATGCACTCCTGCTCCCTGAGCCATCTCCCTGTGCAAACACTACCCTTCTGTTCTCCCACCAGTGATTGCTCTAAGGAGTGTATCTACCTGATATAAATGTTCCCCCATATGCCTGTCTGTTGTCTGGCTGGAAGCCATGGGAGTGAGTTCAATTCCAGACCTGAAGGGGAACTAGGAGCCACAGTCCCAGGGGTCTCACTAGGCTCTATCAGCTCAGCACACCTGGTCTTTTTTTGATTTTGAGTTTCGTTCCACATTGTTCTCCCATTCTATCCAGATCTCCGGCGCTGATCCCTTTCCAAGTGGC